GTAGAAAACACAGAAATAAACCCACAATTCTATGGTCAACTAATTAACAAAGGAGGCAAGAATATCCAATGGGAGAAAGACAGTCTCTTCAACAAACGGTGTTGGGAAAACTGGACAGCAACATGCAAAAGAATGAAACTGGACCACTTTCTTATACCACACACAAAAATAAACTCAAAATGGATTAAAGACCTGAATGTGAGACATGAAACCATAAAAATCTTAGAAGAGGGCTCAGGCAGTAATGTCTCTGATATCAGCCATAGCAACATTTTTCTAGATGTATCTCCTGAGGCAAGGGAAACAAAAGCAAAAACAAACTATTAGGACTGCATCAGAATACAAAGTTTCTGCACAGCAAAGGAAACAACAAACAAAAGTAAAAGGCAACCTACTGAATGGGAGAAGGTATTCACAAATGACATATCCAATAAATTAGTATTCAAAATATATAAAGAACTGATACAACTGAGTGATGGGTATTAAGGAGGGCATGTGTTGTGATGAGCATTGGGTATTATACACAACTAATGAATGTGTGAACACTACATCAAAAACTAATGATGTACTTATATGGTGGCTAACTGAACATGATAAAAAATAAAAAAAGGGGGGCACAAAAAAAAGAACTGATACAACTCAACACCCCAAAAAACAAATAATCCAGTTAACACATGGACCAGACATGAACAGATATTTCTCCAAAGAAGACATCCAGATGGCCAACAGACATATGAAAAGATGTTCCTAATCACTTAACATCAGGGAAATGCAAATCAAAACTACAATGATATATCACTTCACACCTTTCAGAACGGCTATAATCAAAAACATCAGAAACAACCAGTCTTGGCGAGGATGTGGAGAAAAAGGAACCCTCTTGCACTGTTGGTCAGAATGCAAATTGGTGAAGCCACTATGAAAAACAGTATGGAAGTTCCTCAAAAATTTAAAAATGAACCTTCTACAATCCAGTAATCACACTACCGGGTTTTTACCCCCCAAATGCAAAAATATTAATTTGAAATGATACATGCACCCCTATGTTTATGGCCAGCATTATTTACAGTAGCCAAATTATGGAAGCAACTTAAGTGTCCATTGATAGATGAATGGATAAGGAAGATGTGTTATATATACACAATGGAATATTATTCACCCAAAGAAAAGAATGAGCTCTTGCCTTTTACAATGACATGGATGGAGCTAGAGAGTATAATGTTCTAAGCAAAATAAGTCAGTCAGAGAAAGACAAATACCATACAATCTCACGTATATGTGGAATTTAAGAAACAAAACAAAGGAGCAAAGGGGAAAAAAGAGAGAGAGTCAAACCAAGAAACAGGCTCCTAACTATAGAGAAGAAACTGATGGTTACCTGAGGGGTGGTAGGAGAGGAATGGGTGAAATAGGTGATGGGTATTGAGTGCACTTATCATGATAAGCACTGGATGATGTATGGAATTGTTGAATCACTATATTGTATACCTGAAACTAATATAATACAGTGTATTAACTATAGTGGCATTAAAATAAAATTTAGAGAATATTTATGGAGCAGCTACTGTATGCCAGGTGCTAGAGATATAGCAGCAAATAAAAAAAGTCTCTGCTCTCAGGAAGCCCCCAGGCTAGTAGAATGAAAGAAATAGTAACCGAATAAAAATACATTTTGTCAGTGCAATCTAACAAAATAATACATGAAGAAAAATAATACAAGGGAAAGGGGAATTAACTTTATGATAGAATGTTCAAGGAATGTTTCTTTGATATGAATACTTCTGAATAAGATCTGAATGCTGTGACTGACGCAGCCATGAAACTGTCTTATTTTGTTAATCTAAAATTATCTATACTTGACTTTGCTCTTAAATGATAATCTAGTTGGCTATAGAATTCTTTTGGCTTCTGTTACTGTTTTCACAAAGTCCTCTATCAGTGAAATTGTTATTTCTTTGTAGATAATATGCCTTTTCTATTTTGCTGTTTTTAAGATCTCCTCTTTGGTATTCTTCCAATCCACTATGTTGGCTTGGATCTATTTTATTATATTGAGATTGCAACTCATTATGGTTCTCAAAGTTATGGATGCATGTATTTCAACAATTGTAAGAAACTGTCATCTATTAGTACGTTAAATATTGTTTCTCCCCAATTTTCTCTATTCTCTAACTTTAGAATTTTATTAGATTATGCTGAACCTTTTCCTTTTATTCTCCTGGTACTATACCTCTCTTTCATATGTGTTCTTTTTCATCATTTATCTGTCTGAAATGTGCACTGAACAATTTTTCTTCATATGCATTTCCAGTTTACTAATCTCTCTTCATTGATGTGTAATCTTGTATGTAATATATCCATTGAATTTTTATTTTCAATGTTCTTAATACCTCCTTTGATGCCTTTATCATTTTAATTATAGTTCCTTTACAGTATCTATTTGATTCTTCTGTCATGTGAAGTTCTTGGAGTGGTCTAATTCAGTTATATGTTGTATCAGCTGACTCTCACTTGTGACCATTTCCTTAGGTGTTCTGTTGTGGATTGTGAGCTTATTTTCAGCAAGCATTTACTTGTGGTCATGTCCTTCCAGAGTGTTTTTGTGTTTGCTTTTGCAAGTCAATATAGAGGTATCCCCACATTGAGGCAAATTCCTATGTTAATTTCTCAGCTTATAAACTCAAAACCAGGAAGATACTCTGTATTTAAACATCAATCCCATATAAGATTAAATTTAAGGTTGCTAAATCTCAGTAGAAATGCTTCCCTTAAACCCCTCTCCATTCAGAATCCATGCTTGGATAGACAGGTTTCCGTTTTTGAATTTTCATGTTGTAGACTGGTTTTGTCTAGTTCATTTCATCCAATTCTCTTTTTGCTGAAGTTGGAGCCATTCAGGATATTGGCTTTATGTGGGAGTCTGGTTCCATCTTTTTACCCAGCACAGTTCTGGTTTATACCAGTTGTCCGTTGTAATTTTTGTTTAAAAACTCTTCTGACTCTCGGGCGCCTGGGTGGCTCAGTTGGTTAAGCGACTGCCTTCAGCTCAGGTCATGATCCTGGAGTCCCAGGATTGAGTCCCACATCGGGCTCCCTGCTCAGCAGGGAGTCTGCTTCTCCCTCTGACCCTCCTCCCTCTCGTGCTCTCTATCTCTCATTCTCTCTCTCTCAAATAAATAAAATCTTAAAAAAAACTCTTCTGACTCTCAAATATGTCCCAGTTTAGATGATATTTATATAATATTCTAATCTTTAATCAGAACTGTGCTTGGTATGCTAGAGAAAGAGAAAAGCCAGACTGGCTAATTTGTAGAGGGAAGAGTGGTTGAAGAAGAGCTCAGAGAAGAAGATAAGGGTCAATTTATGAAGTACTTTCTAGGTAAGAGAAGGATATTGAAACTTAGTTTACATATGATTAAAAGTCATTAAGGGATTTTTTTTTTAAAGATTTTTTTATTTATTTGAGAGAGAGAGAATGAGAGATAGCATGAGAGGGAAGAGGGTCAGAGGGAGAAGCAGACTCCCTGCTGAGCAGGGAGCCTGATGTGGGACTCGATCCCGGGACTCCAGGATCATGACCTGAGCCGAAGGCAGTCGCTTAACCAACTGAGCCACCCAGGCGCCCCATTAAGGGATTTTTAAGCCACAGGGTTTTAGTCTGCCTCTTTATTTTACCTGGATACTTAAAAGTGTCCCCCATGCCTTGTGTAGTTTAGTGGTAAGAGATTTGGGTAAAGTTTGCATTCAGATTTGGGGACTCACCCTCTCAGTGATTCTCTTGCTTCTAGGGCTTTCTCCTGAATTTTCAGCTCTTTGAACAGCCTTGCGGTCTATCCTCTGAGATATTAAGCCAATGCATTTTCTGATCTCTGCCAAGCTTACAAATATCACTCAGCACAGTTTTATCATCTGTCATTTGGTGGAAGACTTCCCCATGGTTTCTGCCTGCATTTTTTTTTTTTAAGAGTCCAAAAGTCTTGCTCATGTGTGTATAGTGTAATGGTCAGCTAAAATTTGGGGCAGAGTATATCTGCAGATTTGGGGTCCCATCCCTTCTGTGACTGTCTTGTTTCCAGGAGTACCACCCCTAAATTTCCAGACTATTTTCCACCTTGAGCCAGTAAAGCTGTGGTGTCTGCTACAGGAATTCTAGGTTTGGGGCAGCACCCATTGCTCCTGCCATCTCTCAAGGGTAGACTTTCTTGAAGTTTTTGTCTGCTTACAGTTGTACCACATTGCTTTCAAATAGGTTCTTCACTCTTCTTCTCCCCCTCTCTATATATGTTTTAATTTTATAATTAATAGTTACAAGAAGGTATAGCCAAACAATTTAGTCAGCTGTTACAAAACCTGAAACATTTATTGTTATTTTAATTTATATTTAGATTAACAGCAATTTTGAAAATTTTTGCATGCTTATTAGCAATTTTTATCTATTTTATGAATTTTCTGTTCTGCTATTTACCCATTTTTCTATTTGTCTGTTTTTATTTATAGGTAAGAGTTTCTTATTTATGGACAATAATAAAATATAAACTCATCAGATATATTATTTTTGTGAGACTCAAATGAAATGTGTTTTAAAATTTAAGGTTTTGATTTTATGGTGACTGTTATATTGGCCTTTGATGTTCATGTGGGATCATTTAGTAGAAGAGACAAGGTAAGGAGTTTGTTCTTATTAGAGATGCCACTACACAGAGAAGGGAGCTCTTGCCTTTTCATAAGGCAGTCTTGTGGTCAGCTTGTATGATGTGCAGGGCAGTGTTGGCAGTGACCTTCCTAAACAAAATCTTGTCAGATATATTATTTTCATACTTATTGATCACCATGGCTTTATTTTTCAATCATAATCATTTGCCATATTCACCAGTACTATTAATATACTGCTGCTTCTGTGCATTGGAGGAAATATTGCAAAATGATTAATATTTGCTAAGGGCACTATGGGTTCATACCAGAACTATGTTCAAACATTGTTCCCTCTTTTTTGTCCCTAGGAGTACACCATTGATGTATTTTTTCGACAGACATGGCATGATGAAAGACTGAAATTTGATGGACCCATGAAGATCCTTCCACTGAACAATCTCCTGGCTAGTAAGATCTGGACCCCTGACACCTTCTTTCACAATGGCAAGAAATCAGTAGCCCATAACATGACCACACCTAACAAGCTGCTCAGACTGGTGGACAATGGAACCCTCCTCTACACAATGAGGTCAGAGTGTGGTACCTCCCATCTAAAGTGTACTCAGGGTAGGGCTTGAAAACAGCATGTTTTTAGGCTATCTATTGAAAGTTCTGTTAAGTTTACAGATTAGAAATGCACATATAGGTATATACTTCTTAACATATTTGCAGGTACACACATCCACAGACATATATATTATAGATGTACAAATAAATAGTCAAACGTGAACATTCTCAGACACACAGATATATGTTCATGATGTATAAACGTATGCATACTCAGAGACACATGTGGACTAACACATAAGCATATACATATTCAAGGGCTCTTAAATTCAAAGGCTCACAGCTATATACACAGGCAGAGCACTGTGACAGTCAGAATAAGCTGTTTAACTGCAGCAACAAACTTTCCCTATGATGCAGAATTCTGAGAATCAAATGAGATAATGATGGATATTTTCTGAAGCATACAATGTTATATATAATATATACAAAATTACAGCAACACATATTTTATGCCACATTGCCTGGGAATGCTGAGGATTTTGATGTAAGTGAGGTTTCTAAATAACCTAAGAATGTTTCTTTCATTTTTTAAAGACTTTGAGAGAGAGAGAATGCACAAGCAGGGGGAGGGGCAGAGGGAGAGAGAAAGAGAGAAGCAGACTCCCCACTGAGCGGGGAGATCGACACAGGGCTCAATCCCAGGACCCTGAGAATATGACCTGAGACAAAGGCAGCTGCTTAACCGACTGAGCCACGCAAGTGCCCCAGAATGTTTCTTTTAAATATCATTTATATACAGGGGCACCTGGATGGCTCAGTTGGTTAAGCATCCAACTCTTGTTTTTGGCTCAGGTCAGGCTCTCAGGGTTGTGAGATTGAACCCTGCATTGGGTTCCACACTCAGGGCAGAGTCTGCTTGAGATTCTGTCTCTTCTTCTCCTTCTGCCCCTCCCCCTCTCATATTCTCACTCTAAAGTAAATAAATAAATTTTAAAATAAATAAATATCATTCCTATACATGTATACATACATATATACACATATATATAATTATGTATATATGTATATATATTATGTATAATTTTGCCTTCAAAAAGAATGACTTTAAAAACATTTCCAGTTCCATAGTATTCTTTGCCCCAACACTAAAACTTTCTGGGTTCTTGTTTTATGTTTTTGCTAGCTCCTGTGCTGTCAGTTGTCCTGAAGCTCCCTCACACATTAATGAGTATCAATTTTAAGTAACTGAATTAACATTATTGAATGGAAAAAATGTGATCTTTCAGTGCAGATTCTGTGGCTGTTTTAAATTTGAGTTTTTGTTATTTTGTACAAAGAAACTGAAATATGTGGTGAATACATAAAGTGTCCTTGCCTGTATCCTAGTCCTTCATTACATTAAATTTGCTATTTATTGATGTTTTTCTTAAAAGAATTTGGTAGATGAGAAGATAGGCAAAGAAGAATGGATAGCAAATGGATACTTAAGAGAAAATTTGAATTAGAGAGGAGGAGCTAAGAAACTAGAGGAGAAATGAGAATAGAGGAGAGAATGATGGAGAAAAGAAGTAAAGCAGATAGAAGTGGGGAAAAGAAGGTGGAGAGAAGGGAAGAAAAATCTGGAGATAAGGTCAATAAAATTAACATATATGTTTCATTGATCTCTTCCCAGATCTTATATATTTACATATATATGTACATATGTATGTGTGTGTGTGTGTGTTTGTGTTGGAGCACCTGATTATAAGTATTAGCATTCATTTTTGTACTATTCAGTAAGTAGAATGTAGTCAAGATAATTGTAGGTGTAAAGTGGAGGAAAGACAGGAAGGATATTCCAGGCAGAGGAAACCAAGTAAGCAGTTACAAGAAATGGAATGGTTTCCTTCAACAGAAGCAAGAGAATGAGGTGGTCAGTTTTTAAATTTATATATGGCACTCTAGTTACTGTGTAAAGAATGTATTTGAGGGGCGCCTGGGTGGCTCAGTTGGTTAAGCGACTGCCTTCGGCTCAGGTCATGATCCTGGGGTCCCGGGATCGAGTCCCACATCGGGCTCCCTGCTCAGCAGGGAGTCTGTTTCTCCCTCTGACCCTCTTCCCTCTCATGCTCTCTATCTCTCATTCTCTCTCTCTCTCTCAAATAAATAAATAAAATCTTTAAAAAAAAAAAAGAATGTATTTGAAAAGAACAAAACTGGAATTATGGAAACTGGTTAGTAGACAGCTTAGTCTGGGCAAGGAGTGGTAAAGTTATAATTCAGAACAGTGGATTAAGATGGAGAAGGGGAGAGACACTGAAGAAATAGTAAAAACAGCCAATGCTAGAATAACAGGAGGGACAGGAGTCAAGGTAGTAAGTACTCAAATCACACGGGTGAGTGATGGTGCTACAAACCAGGGCAGATCATATAAAAGTTAGAAGAAATTTAGATAGGATAAATCTGCAAGGTTAATTTTGGGCAAGATAAGCCTTAAAAGATTATAGATTTTCTAGGGATAAGTGTGTAATAACTGTTGGATATACAAATCTAAAGATCAGAAGACAGATATAAGCTAGAGATATAAAATTTGGTATTGTTAGTATATTGGGACAACCATGTGAATGTATGTATGTGGTCACTTCAGGAAAGTATGTAGCGTGAGAAGAAAATTATGCCAAGGGTCCAATCATGTAGCATCATTATCATTAAGGCAGAAGGGGAGAAAGAGGAACCTATGAAGGAGACCAAGAAGAAAAAGTAAGGAAGGTGTTGGTAGAACCCCTAGTGAGCAGTATCTTGAAAGCTAAGTCTGATAGTCAATACTTTTACTTTCAGTATTTCTAATTTATGTCCTTCTGGGTATGTGGTAGTATTGTACATCCATAGAACCTTGAAGTTAGGCCTGGATAGATGACTTGGGCTAACCAAATGTGACTGGAAATAACATGTATCATTTCTGATAATATATAATTTTCCTTGTTCCTCTCCCCTGGCACAGTGAGTAGCATTATGCCTGGTGTCTTTGGCTCTATCATTCTGTATCCCTTGTTGAAGATGACATAGAAGACAGTGCCCCTCCCTACAACCTGAGATAGACAAGTGGTGTGAGTGAGAAGTAAATCTTTGTTGTTTGAGGACACTGAGATTTTAGGATTTTTTTGTTACTGCATTCTAATCTGACCCATTTTGACTGATATATCAAAGGAGTAAAGGGTTTCAAAAAAGCTCACAGTGATCAGTAATAATAATAATAATATCAGTAATAGCATAAATATAATTGTTAACATCAATATAGTATTTACAATGTGCCATGCACTATTCTTAATCACTTAACTTTTGTAAACTAACAACTCTTTGAGATAGGTACTATTATTCCCACTTTTCAGATGAGGAAACTGAGACAAGGGTGGGTAAGAAAAGATTTTAAGATCACCTAGGTAGTTAATGGTTGAGTTAGCATTCATACTCTGGCTGTTTGGCTGCAAGTTCATGCTCTTTATCATTATTTATACATTTTTACAACATTGTTGGTTATTACAAAGAGATCAGTAATATAGAGAATTAAATGTATTAGGTTTGGCAACATGGAAGACATTGGTGTTCTTCACATACACTGTTTCAATGTAGTGTTTAGTGCAGTGGTGAGTTTTTAGGAGTTGGCATAGAAGTAGTGAAAATAGTAAACACAGAAAAAACTTTCTGGGAGCTTGCTTGAAAATGAAAGCAAATAGGTACATTCAGGGGTAAAATAAATAGTTGCTTTTTTTAATGTAGATACTGGCACTTATTTATGAGATAGCAGAGAGACAAAGATTGAAGATATAGTAGAAATGAGGTTTTGCTGACATCAAGTTGCCAGAGAAAACTGTAAGCAGGATGGTATCAAAACTACCTTGAAAGTTTTACTTATAAAGGAAGAAGGATGCCTCTTCTCACACTGAATGAAAGGATATGAGGTTAGATAAAAACAGAAAAGAAGATGGGGAGGATAGGACAAAGTAGAGGTAGATAGATAGAATAGATAATGTATGAAGGAGAATTTGAAGAAAATAGAACATAGTGGAGAAATATAACGGAGACATACTTGTAACAAAGGGCATAAAAGAGTTTGAAGAGGAGATGGGAGTGTACACAATTGTTGAAAGAATGAAGCAGAGTATACATAAACAGGGGACTGTGAAATGAGGTAGTTGGTGGGATGGATGAGGATGATGAGATGTGGATGGGTAAAAAGCTATAAGAAAACGAAGAGAAAGTGATGGGCAGGAAAGGAAATCAACACATAGAAACTGAGGAGAAAAAATAGAGAATGAATGAGGAGAACAGGATAGTGGAGAGAGTGAATAATAAAAAGGATGGATGATAGTTTTGAGTTTTGGAGGAGGGGTAGAAAAGAGAGAAGAAAGGAGAGGGGAGGATGGGAGTGTTAAAATATGAAAAGGAAAAAATGATGAGATATGAAGATTGAGGAGTACAGAAGATGAAGCCGACCAAAGATTAGTCACCTGAAAATAAAGTTAGATGAATGGGAAGATGATGACCGTTGAGTCCCTCATTCTAGTCTTAATTGGACAAGAAAGTGGAGTTTGATAAAATAGGAAACTATGTGGAATGCCCTTCTGTTTATTTTGAAGTACAGAATAAAGGAGACATAGAAGTTCAGAAGCATGATAAAGCCATTGGTTCCCTTACATAGTAGAAGATTCACTTTGGACCCAGGAGGGTGGGTCTGGAGGGAGACCTAGGTTCAAAATCGAAAATATTAAAGCTTGACTCTATTTATGGCCCCACAATTTATTCATCTAATGACCTTTTGCAAGACACAAATTATCTACTTTCTCATTCTGATAATAATGTAGCTGCTGCCTGTCTTGCAGACACATGAAAAGTATGAATTAGGTAAGGTCTAAAAGAACACTTAGAATTTTTCAGGAAGTGTTATTCTACAACATTATTATTTTGACCCTTGGAAATCTTATCTGGATTCCATGGAAAACTACAGAAGGTCAGCTTCTTAGAAAAATCTGACCAAGGATT